TCTATCTATCTATCTATCTATCTATCTATCTATCTATCTATCTATCTTTGTAAGTTTGGAAACATGAACTTACCCTTTTTTTGCGCAGGACGACTTGACAGTCTGTAGGTTGGTGTGCGATCATTTTATCCTGTAAATCTTCTGACACCAAGGGTGCATTCAGAACCCATTCATTCTGAGCTTTTGTAGCATTACGCATATCCACATTATTATCCTCTGACCAGATGTGAGAACCAGGTGAGTGTGCAAGAGAATTATTGGAATTGCTTATAGTCACATCATTGCCACAATGCTGTGTACCTTCATCATGAAATAAAATATCGTCATTCTTCTCACGAGGAACATCTAATTTTTCATATTGTAGGGCTGTAGCTCCACGAACTATCTGCTCCTGCGATATACTTTTTTCCACAGAAGGTTCCCAGTTTTTTTCTTTTGAGACATTACTTTCATTAGAGTTGTTGCATCCAAGTACGATAACTTCTCCACTATTGTTTTTCATTGCTCTCTCATAATTAGAAGTGTTCCTTTTTTCAGTTGGCTCAGTGGTATGATCAGATTGTTTCTTTGCTTCTACTCTTGAGATGATCTTCACTGAAGGTTCCTCTGAACTGTTCTTTTCAGCCAACAATTTATCTTCAACAGGCATAGACTGGCAGTTGATGATTTCCAACGGGAGGTCCGTGTTCTTGCTGCCACCGTTGCCATCCTCATTTCCAACAGAAACATTGACTAAAGTTTCCACGCTAGCTTCCAGCGAGAGAAATTCTCCTTCTTCCTGATGATTTTCATTTTCATCTAATTCTTTGGAAACACGGCTGAAGAGCTTTGAGGGGAAGACTACCAACTCGCCAACATGACAGCAGTCTGGCAAAGAAGCACTTTTTTCTTTCAGACTTTCACACCAAAGTTCATTCTTTTCCATTCTGGCTTGCAAGTTGTCAACTACTATGCCATGCCTGCATAATACATTACAATCAAGAGATCCAGAATGTAAGCCCATCCATTGGGTCACATGTTCTTCCCAGCTCCTCTTCCTGACTGCTAGAGACATGTCATAGTATTTAACAATTGGTTCCAAAGAGTGACATAATATGCGCTGGAGGAAACATTATGGATTCTATAAGCTTTTCCATCCAATGAAATGGCTCTTGCATATCTGTATTTTTTTTTAAAAAAAGATAAAATTCCAGTGTAAGAAGCAATGAATGCATTCATATATTTCTTAAACTTTTAGGAAGAAATTGTTTTGTAGAACAGTTTTAATAGTTTGCAAAGAGATATAATTAAGCATATCCTCTTTGCTGAATCCTCCCTCAATGAAGTAAACAGAATGTTATAAACAACTCTATGAGAACATAACAGGTTCCTTAAGCCAAATTTTGACAATGACCCTTTTTCATTGATTCAATCATAAGACAACTATTTTCCATGGATTTAAAAGCTATCAAATCTTGTGAGTTTGTGATACTAGTCAACATTTCAAAATAGCCAAGCATAGCTTGATGGTCAAAAAGCTGGATTTTAATTACTATGATTTAAATGGTCATATTTATTACACTAATAAAGCTATACCAAAATAAGTGGAATAAAAACCTACCTAAAACTTTTGAAGAAAATTAGATTTGATTAGGATGCTAATAATTAGAGACATTTTGCTAAGTGGATTGTTAATTAAAGTAGGTCAAATGCCTACCCCCATCTTAAACCTGTGCATTTGATTTTTATTTCCCATGCAAAGAATTTTGTTTCTGTTTCTGTACAATTTCATCCTGTTACTTTCAGCCTGTTTCTCCAAGGTTGCATTTTTATTCTTGATAAAGGAATTATTCTATGATATTTTTCTGTTAATCTCACGCTTCAGTCCTTCTCTTTTGAACACAACATTTTTTTTTAATTTGAAGAAACCTGAATATACATAGGGGTTGTTCCTTTTCATCTACTTCTTGATAGATTTACTGATTCTCATTTTTTTAAAATTTCATTTTAATGAAATTAGATGCCATACCCTGTATTTGACAACTATTTTCCATAGATTTAAAAGTTATCCAATCTTGTGAGTTTGTGATACTAGTCAACATTTCAAAATAGCTAAGCATAGCACGACTGTCAAAAAGCTGGATTTTAGTTGCTATGTTTTAAATGGTTGTATTTATTACACTAATAAAGCTTTATTGGTCAAATACAGACAAGAAAATATACATTTAATAATTCTAAAGCTCTGTGAAATCCCATTATTAGCAGATGAGGTGTAATTAAATGGGACATGTGATGGGTGGATTATGCAAGGCATGGCGTTCCCTATGACAGTCTATGGAAGCAGAAGTTTCACTTTAAAAAATCAGGATAGAAAGCACGTTGTTGGAAAACAGCCAGGTAAACTAACCAATGGGTCATGAAAGAGATAGAGTTTGCACTGGAAGCACAAATGACCAGACCCTACTTTGGACACATTATGCAAAGACCCAGCTCTATGGCTCTAATTATATCAGGAAAGGTGGAAGGAAAGTGAAGAAGTGCAAGACCAGAAGGAAGGTGCATGGATTCATTTAAAGTGACAATTAATGCACCATTGGGAGATTTGAAAGAATATGTTAGCAATAGATCCTCATGGAGAAAAATCTATCTACGTCGTTACTATTAGTCAAAAATGACTTGACGGCACACAATCAATCAATCAATGGATATATATGTGAGTTAATTAAATTCCATTGACCAGAATATGAGACCTTTACTAAATGAAGATGGAGCTGCTACAGAGCATCTCTTAGATACATCCTTGTATAAAAAAGTATTGTTTCCGCGGAAGAAATAAACAATGCAGCTGCTTCGTCTTTTCAAGTAGAACAGGGGTGTCAAACTTAATTTTATTGAGGGCTACATCAGGGCTGTGATTGACCTCGGGGGGGCCAGGCGTGCATGGCCGACAGGGTTGGTGTTGCCAACTGGGTGGGCGTGGCCAGCTTGACGCCACTCACTGGGCGTGGCTGACTGAATGAGCGTGGTTGACTGGGTGGGCATGGCCAGCTTGACAACATTCCCCAAACTGCTGGCATGTTTTCTTTTCGCACTGGGTAGGCTGGGCCGAAGCCACGCTGGCCCACTGTTTCCTCTTCGCGTTAGGCAGATCAGGCCAAAGTGATGGGGGTAGACTGGGCTGAAGCAATGCCATCTGGCCCCTTACATTTTCCAGGACTGCCCTGCGGGCCAGATCCAATCACATCACGGGCCAGATTTTATTAATTTATTAATTATTTTATTGATTGCTTGATTTGATTTGTCAATCACTCGCAAGATACGGGTATAAGAACAAACATAGTTTTGAATGCATGAGATGGATACTCTACGGGCCTTGTGTTTGACATCCCCGATGTAGAAGAACTAGCATGGGCTACTATCTAAAATTCCAGTTGCATTTATGTAACTTGGATGTCTTCAAACAAGAAGAAATGAACAGGAGTTTTAAAGAGAGGGAGGATTGCAACAAGAGACCTCTCCTTTCCTGTTTGCTCTTTCTCCCAATTCCTCTTTTATAGCTTTCTCGATCCAGATTTTTAAAGTCGCCTTTATATATCAGCCAATTCCCATAAAATCATTCCCCTTTTCCTTCTGCAGAAAAAACAGAAAATGGATATTAGGGTGTGAAACACAGGATCGAGAATATATTGGGAAGATTTTTTTAATCAACAATAAATGGAATGTTTTTTGGGGGGTGGAAGCTAAGAAGCAAAAACTTTTTTGGGATTCCAATAGCCAAAATCTTTCTCAAATTGAGCAGATTACAAGGACATGTCTATATCCTTTACTATGACATTTTCTTACTATCCTTGATATAATCTTCTTTGGGGATGAATTTTTAACTTCATATCTTTTTTAAAATCCTCACATTTTTAACTTTACACAACAGATATAAACTTAATGTTAAACTACTCCAAACTTGATGGCAGGAAATACGATTTCAGCAACAGAGCGGTCAACGTCTGGAACTTACTACCTGACTCTGCTGTCACCTGCTCAAACCCCCACTCCTTTAGCCTCAAACTAACCTCTATTGACCTCACCCCATTCCTAAGAGGTCTGTAAGGGGTGTGCATAAGTGCACAACCGTGCCTACTGTCCCTGTCCTAATGTCCCCAATTATTCATACCCATTTCCTGTATTTATACTTATGTTTATTATCTTGTAAGCGGTTGACAAATTAAATAAATAAATCTACAATAAAGACTATGGATTCCTTGTGGTTCTCCATCCAATTATTGAGCAAGTCCGACTTTGTTCAACACTTTAATGCTCAGGTTGTTATGTGCTGCGACAGCTACCGTTACATTAATTGGTATTAATTTACTCTTTTAATTTAGCTGAGCTGAACTACTGCATTACAGCAACGGCCCCCAACCTTTCGGCTACCGGGGACCAGTTCCAAGGAGGCAGGTTTTTCCATGGATCAGAGGGGTGTGGTTTCGTGTACTGCCTGGACGGAGCTTCACTTGTTTGCACTGCCCAGTTTCTGGCATGCCACAGCCTGGGGAACGCCACTTTGCAGCATACACATTTTTCCTTTTCAGTTGTATCTTTTTTTAAAAAACAAAAGCATATCCCACCATTAGTATTTTGCAGAATACCTTTCACAATAGCCTTGTTCTTCCCTAAATGCCCTTGTATATAGTGGTGGGATTCAAAAATGTTTACTACTGGTTCTGCGGGCGTGGCTTGGTGGGTATGGCTTGATGGGCGTGGCAGGCGAAGGATACTGCAAAGTCTCTTTTCCCTCCCCACTCCTGGGGGAAGGTTACTTCAAAATTCCCATTTCCGCACCAGCCCACTAACCTGCTTTCCAGCTCTGTTCTCCTCTGCAGGGTAACAAAAGAAGCTGGGACTCGGGAGGCAGAGAATAGATAGGGTTGGTGAGGCCAGTCAGAGGTGATATTTGCCAGTTCTCCAAACTACTCAAAATTTCCGCTACTGGTCAGAACCGGTCAGACCCTGCAGAATTGGTCGGAACCTAATGAATACCACGTCTTCTTGTATAGCCTCTTCTCAAATGAAAATATTTTAAAAATTTCAAATTATCTCCTACCCTGGACTTTTCTTTGTATAACTGTTCATGGTACTGGCTGGTTTTTGCAGATACATCCATAATAATGTCTTATTTGCTCGTGAATTGTACTAATTGCCACTGTAAAACAAGGTGAGTTTTTCTTTTTGCATTTTGACAATGAAAATGCAAAAAGGTAGAAAATGTAATGTCTACAAGTGTTGAATCCTAATCTGAAAACAGTACCCGGATCACTGATGCTCAAATTATTTTGAATTCTGGACAGTTGTATATATTCAGGATCACAATCCACAGTATCTGTTTTGTTGCTAAAATGTATTGTCTTAAACGTTATAGTGGCTCCATTGCTTATAGCGGTTTCCTTTAATCTTTGTGATGACATACAGGTAACTACTGGATTTTACTTATCTGAAAAATTCTGAAGTAATTTTCTTAGTGATTAGTCTGTCCAAGTTTTGCTTGGATAGAATTTTTTTTTTTTTTGCAAGAGTGAGGCCCATGATTATGTCACAATCTTTATTTTTTTAAGCCAAGGTTCAGAATGGATTCTTGTAGAATATCTATGCCTAGTTTCTTCATATTGACTTTTTTCTTTCATTATTCCTTTTTAAAATTCCAGTTATCTTGACCATTTTACTTTCCTATTTAACCACCTTTGTACTAAACTGTTCATTAAAGTAATTCTCTCTCTCTTTTTAATTGGGGAAGACTTGGTCTTGGGTTGCAAACCAACAGAACAAATTTTGATTAAATATTGGGAGAAATCTTTGGATGGCATGATGTATATAACAGTGCAACAGTCTATCTTTAGAGGTTGTGGGTTCTCCATCTCAGGAGGTTCCTAAGAAAGAGTCTGGGCAGCTTTCTCTTGAAGATGGTTTAATAGCTTTTCCCAGGCAGAAGGTTGGGCTATATAATGCTTATGGTCACTTCTAACTCTACAATTCTGTTCTGTAACCCAGAAGTCTCCAAACTTGGCAAGTTTAAGACTTGTGGACTTCAACTCCCAGAATTCTCCAGCCAACATAGCTGACTGGAGAATTCTGGGAGTTGAAGTCTACAAGTCTTAAAGTTGTCAAGTTGAGGACCTTCTGCTGTA